CTTCCTTCCTCTCCTGTGGGGGGAAGGTAGTTATGGTACACTCCAACCACTCCACAGTGGTCAATTATATCACCAAGCATGGGTTTACCCAATCCAGGTCTCTGTGCATTCAGACTCTGGATCTCCTGTCCTGTGTTCTCCACGTTCCTTTGATTGGGATCTCAATGTGGTCCTTTATGCCCTTTCCCACTCTTCCTTTGAACTTTTGTTGACATGTTCCATATACCATCTCTCCCTTCAGACCTATTTCCTTCTCATCCTTGTTTGCAGATGTTGTCAATCAGATATTTTTGCCATTAATGTTACCAGAATCCTCTACCATTCCACTTATGTCATCCTATATCCAGATCAGTCCGTCCTTCCTAAAACCTCTGCTGCCCATGAAGTATGTTTGGCTGTCACACTCATTTCCTTACCTTCCATCTCCAACCTGTATTCCCATTCTGATCCATATCAGCTTCTTTGTTTGGTTTGCTCTTTATGGTGTTGTGTGGCAAGTACTACTTCCTTTCAGAATTCACATTCCTGACTTTTTCTTCCCTGGAATCCATCTGTTTCCCATGATTTATCCCCTGACACCCTAACTAGTTGAATTCATCAACTCATTAGTCTGGTGTATTCTGACTTATTCATGGATGGGGACATTCTGATTTTCAAAATAGGGAATCATGGACACCAATTGCACTTTCTCCAGTGTGACATTCCTCTGGACTCCCCACCACGTTTACTTCCCCCCAGTATTTCCCAGTTCCCAGTCACTGAGGTAGTGGACCCTGGAGGCTTCTTCCTGAGTGTGTTGTAGACTTTTAACTTATTCTATATCCACTCAGTGAGGAGAGGGCAAAGCTGGTTTCTCTCTATCATTTACCCTGGATGCTCCTCGTAATACCGGGTTCAAAATGACACCTCCCTGTTCCTATGGTTGTGTACAGTAGAACCTCCCCCCCCTTTTTGTTAACTCCAATTGCTGGTGGTTCCTTTCCTATTCCTACAGTTGAGTGAATGTTCCATATCCTCCTTGTAATTCCAGATGCAGAATGTCTCTTCCCTGCATTTATTGTTAGGTGAGTTGAGATTTCTGCTTTTAATTTCAGGTGACAGATATTCCCCTGTTCTTACGATTGAGTTGAGGCAATACCACAACCCCGTAATGCAGATTTCTGTTTGTTGTACATCTTGCTTTGACAGTGGTTTGGGGAGTTTGTCAAGTTTTGGCAAACTGCTAACTTCCTCTTCATAATTCTGGTTGCTTGATGTGTGACACATGATCTACATACCCTAGCCACATTGTTTATGCTACTCTATGTTCATTTTTATCTGATTGATCTTCAACCTCCTAATGCCAAGGGTGAGTTGTGGAACCTTGTCTGTCTGTTTGAGGTTTGGTATATATGTAGCTAAATTGTATTTCTTTTTACTATGAATTGCACTTCTCAGAATTTATACTTGTGTACATTCTTTTTTTCCCACTCATATAAGGTTCATATCCTTCTTCCAGTGTGAAGGGCATACCTGTTCCAGAAGTTGTGAGGTACCCAACATATGTGCTCTGGTTCATTACGGAGCAAACCTGTTCATTCTGGGTAGTCGCTTTCCACTTGGTTTCATTGTTGTGCACTTACACTGGCTCCTCCACCTTTGCAATGTGGGATTCTAGCTTTGTGTGAGCATGTGTAAAACTTTATAGGAAGTTAACATTTTGTTACACTGAAAATGTATTTTTGATAGGTACATACCCCCTCTCGTACTTTCCACCCTTCCTCCCCACTGCCAGTGTTATTCTTTTAGATCCTACCAATTCTCAAAAGTGAGGATTGAGTGGGAATAGTAGAGGGAGCTAACTGTGCTAATATAGTTGGGGCAATACTATTGGTAGAGAGTAGTCATGTGATATGTACTTGTTCAACAGTGGTGCAAAATTGGTGGGATACATAGACTGTTGCACTGAGCATGAAAATTTTTTTAGCAATGCTTAGGGGACTGAAAGAATATCAAGATAGCTTTGTGTGAGAGAAAATTTTAACTCTCATTTTATTTAATCTAACCTAACAAGTTATCTTTAAAGTAAAAGATAAATAATATACATAAAACAGCTTTGACCTTTTGTTTTTTTGCTGTTGGTTGCCAATGAAATTTAAGCCACCTTTTTTATACTAATAGTACTAGCACACTAAATAATTTGTATTTACTTAAATAATGCACTTAAGAACACACAATAATAGCATGAACAAAGCATAACCATCATAACTCTTTCAGCATAGGCTCGGTCCTTGGGACTGACCTTGTAACCATTTTTGTGCTTGTTATAATTT